ATCGCGCGTCCTCGTCTGAAAGCAAAATACGGAACTCTTCCGAAAATGAATCATCCTCGCATTTGATATTCCCGTCCGTCACCTCCCGACGTGGCGGAAGCGTTATACTTATAGCCAGGACCAAAATCGCCAGAATTACGCAAGGGTGAAAGCACCGGTGTGCTGTTGCATAGGAGAATTATTGGTCACGTTCATCTCGTTTCCTCACGCCTCGCAGCCGCGTAATCTTCCCGATCTCGAAAAACGCTCGGCGTTAAATCACACACGTTTTTTTTTTATCTTTAAATCTGCTTTCGAAAATCTCCCGCTGAAATTGTGGTAAGGAATTGTGGCTGAAATTATAACCGCGCTTACACCCTCGTCAAAATCTACATACACAATGTTCGAAACTGGTTTTTGCACCACTCGCGTGCGTCGCGTTATAAATGCTATGACTTTTACAGAAAAAAGATAGTTTAAATAATTTCGTTTCCAAAAAAAAAACCGGTGAGCGTGATACGTTTACTTGCTCGTAACGTTTATGTAATAAAATTAACATTCCATGACTGCATCGGAACGCGCGGCTCCCGAGACATTCCGTGAATGGTGAGCGCGATTAAGCGATGCCGTGAGGAATTTAATAAACCGGCCAATTCGGCGCTCAGAACTTTCTTTCTTCCTCATCCGGTACACACGGTATGGATATCGGCGAGTCATAAATCGAGAGCGAAACTTCTGTCATCGCATCACGTACTACGCTACTTCGAAGACTGCTTGCGATGCAATGAGGGATGTGGCGAGCAGCCGCTGACCACCCTGATGCTGCTATAAATACGTTTGTCACTGCTTGTCCGAACGTCAGTCTTGTTTGCGACACGTTTACCGGTACACAAAACCATATTGGAACGGAAAATGATCATCAAGGTACGCCAAAGGATTGCACAAAAATTTTGCACATCAAATTAATTGAATCGATTACTTACAAACTTGGAATATTTCTCGAGTAGTCTTTGACTATTATACTTTACGAACTACCCTCATATATTCTTTTAATATTTGAGAGACCGTTATATTATATTAATACTTTATATTATATTACAGTTAACAATCTTGGCTGCAGCAGTTCTCGCGATATGCAGAGGCGCGGTCATCCCATCGTCAGCTTTCCCGGTCATCCTAGCTGCTCCAGCTGTTCCAACTGGTCCAGCTGTATCAGCCATTCCAGCTACATTGGCCGCACAGCCGGTTTTTCCAGTTGCTGCAGTTGATGCCACAAATTACGATCCTCATCCTCAATACAGTTACGCCTACGATGTCCAGGATACATTGACTGGTGATGCGAAGAGTCAGCACGAGAGCAGAGATGGTGACGTCGTCAGCGGCAGTTACAGTTTCATCGAGGCTGATGGTACCAGGCGAATCGTCGAATATACGGCTGATCCTGTGAACGGATTTAACGCTGTGGTCCGTCGGGAGCCCCTGGCAGTGGTGAAACCCGTCGTCGATGTCGCCTCACCTCCGCTCGTTTATCAGCCCTAAAGGATGCGATAATGACTGTTCATAACGATCCACGGAAAGAACAATTTTACTAAAGTATCTACAAATTTAGCTAGATACAAATTTAAAAATAATTCCCAGCAAACAAGTTGACGTTGTTTATCGTTACTTTGACGTCAAAATGATGACAAATAACATCAATTTATTTTCTGGGTTAAATAATCTAAACAAGCAACAATCTCAAGCACGCTAAGCAATACTGCAAAAAAGTTTTATCATTCTAGCAATCAGTTTTATAGTCTTACATAATTATTTTCAAATCTGTTTTATAGTCTTATATACATAATTATTTTCAAATCTGTATTTAGCTAAATTTTTAAATATTTTGTTAAAACCTTTTTTTTCCGTATCTACAGGATGAAAACTAGTCACATTATATATAATGTATTGATATTGCTGCATGAATCATTAATTGTTAATGTATTGATTTTATTTTTATTAAAGATTTTTTTACAAACTGTGTGCGAATTAATTTTATCTTGACATAATGACTTCGCTATCAGTAGATTACGTGTCAATCTTTTTATTCTTTGCACGTTATCTTTGGAACGTTATCGCGAAGCGTGTTTCATAAATTTGTATTTTCATAAATTTTTCGTGAGTTTATACAAAACAAGTTCGTTTACAATGGACGAATTAATGTTATACGGATAAAGCCGCTGAGTTATGTAATGGCATGTAAATTTCGCGAATCTGGTCATAAACTCTCCTTTGTGAATATAACTGTGAAAGTTTACAGATTATCAGATTATATATAGTATACACACATATATCGACGCAAAACTTACAATTGCGAAAAGTTCATATGAAATATACACTATACTGTGATATTTATATTTTACATTTAGGAATTTCTAAGAAATCCATATTACATTTAGGAATTTCTAAGAAATACATATTATTATTGCAAATTTAGTTAGTTTCAAGATTTGAGGAGTGAAACAATTTCTTGAAGTTATAATTCGACCTGTTTAATTTTGACTATCATCAAAATTGATGTATATATGTATAAATATAGGAGAAAATGAGATATGAATAAAAGAATCTTTCAAGTGTGTAAATAGTGAAATAAGATTCATGTAACTTTTGATACCCTTTGTAATCACAAGATTAAAAAAAAATTTCTTTTTCAAAAAAAAAAAAAGGTCGTCGCTTTCTTTCCAAAAGTTAATAATGCATTAGTTGTGAATGATTTTATATCATATTGTCAAATTTGTCTTGATAACTGCTATTAGTTTATATCCAAATATTCCAAACAATTCTAAACAAAAAATAAATAAAAGTGATCTCGATCGTAATAAAAAAGTGAAAGAAATAAAAATAATGAAAGTGATCTTTTGCACACACGACTTCTTCAATAATTTAAATTATTACTTCATAGATTATTTTATTAAAAATGGAATGCGTTTTTATTGATTCGAAAATTGATTACTTGAAGTAAATTCAAGTATAAATTTCAGATCAAACACGTACAGTCTTAATCTTTAAGAAAATAGATTTGCAAAAATGTTTACAGAAAAATCTTCACGTTTGTTCATTTTTAATTGAGATATGTTCAACATTGAGATGCATTCAAGATAAGATCGTACGTAGACGGCACATACATCTATTACTATGAAATATAAGTGAGAATTGTAGACTAACAGCGACTAACGGTTACGCGAATGGTAATTAACGCAATAGTATGCGTCGATTTGTGTTATTCGCGCCTGCTGAATGTATAATAGAATTCAGCCGATTGCGGGATGTGTGGTCGTCTTCGTGCTTTCGTCGAACGGCCTTGATAGACCGTCTGTATTCGACATATTGGCACATAACACGCATGAATACGTGCATTGGGTACGATTACGCATATTTCGGTTATCAATTGCTTGCTCATATCAGGTTTAGTATATACATTAAGCAACACGTTTGTTCATCCTTTTCCAAACATTGAAGCTGGTAATTTTAAAAACACTTCTTCCTCTCAGAAAAGTTATTGCAAGAGTTATATTCTTAAAAAAAAACATTATCATATATTGAATGAAAATGCTATGGAATAATATTTAATGTTATGCAGTTTCTTTTTCGTTATATATCACCGTCTTTAAATTGCAGTTTTTAGCCGAGGGGGTAATCACCAGCTGAAATATTGTCCCACAGATTACACGATTTCATATGATTTCAACTAATTAAAAATAATTTTTTTCACTACATATGAAGTAATTTGGTAAAATATATTATACGATTTTATTTAATATTATACAATGATTTCTCGTAATTGCATATATAATTATATTGGATTATATATAGAGATTTCATATATATATATATATATGAATTTTATAATGATTTCGGGGACTTTGTCCTACGATTATATTAAGTGGTTACCCCCTCGCTTTTAGCATTTTCCTGTCGCGATGTCACATCTGAAATTTGCTGTAGACAAAATTTCTTTCAAATTGAATATATAAGTTGCATCCTGCTTCTAAAGCCTAATCTGTACAATATGCTTTTTGTTTCCTGTTTCTTGTTTTTTATCTCTTGTTTTTTTTGCGATCGTTTGATCGACTATCGTGTTTCTTGTCACATGCTTCTTGTTTCTTTCCAAGCCCATTAAACCTATTCTACAATGTGCTCTTTGTTTTCTATTTCTTGCTTTTACCTCTTGTTTTTTCCCCTTTTGCAACCGTTTTATTGACGCAATATTTCTTGCTACGTGTTTCCTGTTTCTTTCGAAATTCGTTAACTTTATCTCGGGCGACATAAAACAAAAAACTGGATAAAAAGCAAAAAGACATGATGTAAAAAATAGCAAAAAGCAAGAGGTAAAAAGTAGTAAAAAATAAGAAATAGGTCATATTCGTAGTTGAATCTTATTTTAAGATTGTCTTAAGACGCTAATACTACGGTTTTGTGATTGACTTGTGACATCTTAAGACTGTATTTAAGACTGTTTTAAGTATAAGAACCAACTGAACCAAATGAGTTTTAAGTATAAGAACCAAATGAATACCAGCCATAGGAAGCAAAAATTGTTAGGCTAGAGACTCCGTATGTATTGTTTCTCCTAGGTATGTATAATTGTCCTATCGACAGCTAGAAAGGCGAGGAAAAAGAGAATGAGGGTTTTGTAGCGTGTTCGGGGTACGCAGTTCCCCGATTTCGTCGAACGACCTCGAGGTCTCGAGTCTTCGGCATATTGGCATCCAAGTCGCGTGTACGAACGGACAGCGGTGATATGAAGAAACATATAAGCGCGCGTACATTGGTACAACCGCAGGTCGGACCCTCTTGTACATCGCAATGATCATCACGGAGGTCACCGTACGGCCCCCGAGAGGAAGACATAGAAAAAGAAAGAAGGAGACAGAGGCAATGATTAGGTGGGGCATAGGTGGCTGTAGGGAGCATCATCGTCGTCAGATGACACAAAAGCGACAACGTATAAAAGTACGATCGATCTTACCCCGAGGTATCAGTCCTCTTCTGGTGGTCCTCTTGCGCGCAAACATGGTCGACACGGTAAGGGAGAGAAGATAGAAGCTGGAAAAAATAGGGGTTGCTCAGAATAAAAGAAACAGGGAACAGAGAACAGAGAATAAGAATTTCAACCTATCAGAAACTGTGTATTCAACAATACATGATTTCTGATAGGTTGAAATTCTTATTCTCTGTTCTCTGTTCCCTGTTTTTTTTATTCTGCGCAGCCCCATACTCAAACATTAGAATCTTCTTTTCAGCTCTCCTTTGAAATGACTGTGACCGAAAGACTGTATTTCGTAATCGGTTCCCACGCTTATCTAAGTACTTCTAATTATCGTCAAATATCAATGATGTGTAAAAATATCTTATAACTACGTTCTATTTAGACTCTCACGTGCTGTAGCTTCATTCTATTTTTACTGCTCATTACATCGTACATTACTACGAAAAAAAGATGGAATGAAGTTTACAGCACGTGAGCTTCAAAACCGAACGCAGCCCTCGTGTAACATAGCTAAAATACGCATCGATGCTGAAGTGTTTTAAGGCTGGAGCACAGACCTTTGCATAAGGTATAAGAAAATCAACTGATCAAAGTCTTTTATTTCATGGAAAGAAAAGAAATAAAGGATTGTTCAATTAGTTCATTTTCTTATGCATTATGCAAGACTCTGTGCTCCCGTCCTTAAGATCTCAGAGATTCAATAGGGTAATTGGAATGTTGCTGATTTCATATTGATTTTCAGCTCTTTTTCTTTCTGGGACTGGCGGTGCTCGCTCGAGGGGCGGTGGTGCCCGCCGTACCAGCAGCAGCGGTGCCTCTGGCGAAGCTGGAGGAGTTCGACCCGGCGCCACAGTACAGCTTCGCGTATGACGTGCAGGACGCGGTAACCGGCGACTCCAAGGCTCAGTATGAGACCCGCAACGGCGACATCGTGCGCGGCAGCTACAGCCTGATCGAGGCCGACGGTACGCGTCGCATCGTCGAGTACACCGCGGATCCTATCAACGGCTTCAACGCGATCGTCAGCAGAGAACCGGTGGTAGCCGCCATCGCGGCACCAGTGTTACCGCTCAGACCGGCCGCGTTGACTCCAGTTGCCATACCGACAGCACCCGCTGCTGCCCCGGCACCGTCGATCCCCGCCATTGGGCCTGATTCCGACGTCGAGATACTCGACACCCGATCGGGTCCCTTAAAAGCGAAACCAACGACGCGCGAGCGAGAGATCCAGCGTCAACAGTTGCAACAGTTGCAGCGGCTGCAGGAGCAACAACACCAGCAACAGGAGCAGCAGCAGCTGCGACAATTGCAGCAGCTGCAGGAACAGCAGAGACGGTCGTCGAAATTACAGATCCAACAGCATCAACCACAAGAGCAGCAGCAGGAACAACAGATTGCGCAACAATCCGCAAGGATCGTTGGACCGACAGCTGGACAAATCGAGCGACAACAAGTCGCGAACCCCCAATTGATCAGTCTCCCAACTGCTGCCAGGGCGATAGCCACGTACCCCGCTTACCCTTACGCCGCATATAGCGCCGCGTACTCTTCGCCGTTCGCCTACGCCGCACCCCTCAACGGCTTGGCTTACACCCCCGCCGCTGCGTTGACGTAAACATTCATTCATATCTACCTCGAATTATTATTACTCCGTTTTATTTGTTAAGATTATCGACGACAAAAACTAGAATAAATTGTTTGCCATGAGTTACTTATATATACGCATCATCTCGTTTCTTCCCGACTGTTCCCTTAGTATCGAAATACAATAAGTGTAAAGCCCCAGACATAATGCGAAGGAATAACGGTAGAAATAACACAATTTCAACCTATTAGAAAACTGTATATTCCAGTGTATCTGATTTCTGATAGGAAATTGTGTTATTTCTATCGCTATCGCTATTCTTGTCTGAGGCTTAAGCCTTAAACTTGATAAGAATTGATCAATTCTTATATCTCACAATCGAATGTGAGAAGAATAATAACTATGATTGGTCAGGCTTACTACACCAATTGTGTTTTTTCAGGCTTACTACACTTATTAGGATTTATGAAAAATACTACTAGAATTGCATGAAAAAATTATTAAAAATGATTAGAAAACTATACAAATCGGATATTCTAACTATTCGTTCCAATTTTTCACTAATCTAATAGTATTTTCGGGAAAAAATATTTTTCCCGGACTTTTCCATAAAATTTCTGCGATTGACATCTATGACGTGAACTTTGAGCAATATTCATAATCCATTCTTATATTTAAGACTATCTTAAGTATATGAATCAATCAGAGCGCCGTATTAGCATCTTAAGATATTACTTAAAAACGGTCTTGAAATAAGAACGGATTGTGAATACTGGCTTGTGATAGATTTATGACATCTTAAAATTTAGAACGGTTTTAAATAAGAACCGACTATAAATACTGGCATTTGTTCCAACCGGAAAACACGAAGTAAAAAAATGTAATTGGCAGAAATGATAAAAGACCGCTGACGAGAGACAGTCAATATCTCAATCAGCACACAATATTAAATAAAAATGTTTAAAAATGATTTTTAAAATATTTATTTAGTATGAAAATATTAAATAAATGTTTAAAAAATATTTTTTAAATATTGTATGCTGATTGGGATATCTTATTGATTACGTCTTAAGTCACACACAGGCCATAAAAATTGGGTGGTATGCGCGCGTCAAGTAAAAGTGACGAACTCTGGATGTGCGTCGATCAATGTCATCAACGTTGCGAATCGATCGCGAGTCGGCTGTCATGTTGAGGCCCAATCCATCCAGCGATATTACGTAAGTCCCCGGCCTGTTGTTACGCGCACCGGGCCCCTGTCGTCGTCTTTACGCAACAACACGCCATGCATGTATGTATAATACACGCATGCATGTAAGGCGACCTTCGGCTACGCGCGACGCATTTAATTTTAACGGTATGAAAAGGAGATTATTATTACGACCATTAGTCCACAAATCATAAAAACATGATAATTGCCGTCTTCGGAATGTCTTCATTTTGCTCTTGATTGGCAGTTCGCAATAAAAAGAATCCTTTTTATAATGCGTCATTATCGTCGCCGACTTTTCTTAAAAAGGGTTTACCCAACCGTGACATGTACAGAAATTATATCAATTGTTGAACGAAACGTTTTACGTTTGAAAAAATTATATTCTGCGTAATATTTAATTTTTTTCAATGAAAATGAAAATTTATTTCTCATAAAAAAAATTTTTTATTATTGAGAAAAGTTATATATCGATATATAGAATCCTTGAAATAATGTGAAAAATGTTTCATGTTTCGAATATCTCTTTTCACAAAGTAAGTAGTAAAGGTCAACGCGAATCAGGCAAGTAGACACGGCCGCACTAGATGTCTGCCCAGTGAGCGATGTCTACTACTGTAATAGCTTTTTTAACACAAAAATTATTGACATGGTAAAATCAAGTAAAAGGACATATTTTTTATATACAATTTTTGAATTATGTTATAACTATTTGATCACCAACTTATTCATAATGCATCATAACCACTTATTGCACTAGCAAAAATAAGAATACAAAACAGAAATAGTAAAAATACAGAAATTAAAGGCCCGTCTACAATATAGTAGTAAACTTGGTTTAAGAAATAAGATTAAGAAAATTAATTTATTTCGCTTACGCTTACATCTACACCTACTCTAAACTTTTACATCTACTCTTACTTCTTAAACCAAGCTTACTACGTGTATTATAGACGGTCTTTATACAAATATGAATATAAAAAATATAAATATGAATCGCATCAAAATTGGTAATTATCGTTTTTTAAATAAAATATTTTTGTATTTTTTGTTATAAATTATATAGGATTAAATTCTTTTATTCAAAGAATATCTTTTTGCTGAAATCTCTGAAAATTTAGGTAGGTGCAGATCTGAAAATAATTTTGTTGGACCATCAAAATAATTATGTAGGAAATTCAAACATGATGAGAGCAATGTTGCAAAAAGTTTTAACATTGTATAACAACTAGTTTCAGCGCCTTATACATTATTTTGATAATGTAACAAAATTACTTTTCGATTTATATCTCTAGCTAATCATTTTGAATACTTCAACAAAACCGTTCTTTCCTTGTACACCTTTTTATTTTAAATATGATACAAACATCTAAATAACACATGACGATTAAGATAAAATAAATTTTGGCTAATATAAATCAATTGGAATTAAAGTATACTTGCATCGTTTATTACGAAAGATTATGTAAGACGTAAGCTATTATTTGAGGAGACACGTCGCTCAGGAACCACATCGGTCATTCCTCGAATAAAATAGAAGTTTCAGAAAAGAGTAATACGTAATTCGGATTACAACGTCGCGAAAAAGCGACATCGTTCTCTCTCTCTCTCTCTCTCTCTCGGTTCGTCTCTCCAAGTTGTACAAGACGGAGTGCAGCGGAACGAAGAAGGGACGAGAAGGAGAGTGGTTCGCATTCGCGAATCGACTTTCACCGAACAGAAAACACGACTGCAGCCGCGGCCGTCAAAGAACCGCGCCCAATGTCACTATGCGGCACCTCGTAATCGCGCCCCGTATTACGTGCGCACAAAAGACCGGTCCACTTTTGACAGAGAGACCGGTCCGGAATCCGAGCGAACAGGCGAATCACCGCAGGCGAGAACCGAGTCGCGACACGTCCCACGCTGATGATTTTGCCGTCTGACTTTAACAGTTTATCGCTACCTTATCAGATACTTTTGCGGAAAATCGATAAGAGGTAAAAAAAAGTGTCAGGTTTAATAATTAAATTTTTAATTATTATTTATTTCCATTATTATTTAATTCCTCATTAAATTGAAATTTGAGAACTGATAAATGAAACATATTCAATGAAATACAGCCGTAGGAAAAATCGCTCCTCTCGCTCGATCGTGTCAATTTATCATAAGGCATAACTAATTACGCAGGGTCATCTAACGCGATGCGCGAAATTGCGTCGCTATTAACGACATCGACACTCGATTTGCAAAACATGCACGTAGCATTTGCGGTAACTGCGACTACGTCGTGACTGGAGTATCCTACGTTTAAATTGATGAATTAAACGAGCAGTACATTACGTATCCATGTCAGATTAATTCAATCAGATTAATACAATGTTTATCTTCATTTTACTTTTGCATTAAATTACACTTCGCTACATTAAAAGAGGTCATGCCTATACAAGTTCAAATAATTGCCAGGATAAATTGTTAGCAAATTTAATATATTCCGTCTTTTATCATCATTTAAAAGAAGTCATCGATTCTCTTTCTCTCTCTATGAATGCAAGAAACTCATGCTGCCTTGAAATATTTTTATATATATGTTAAATTAAATCTATTTCACATTACAATACTTATTAAGTGGCAATTTATTAAGGAGTTAAAATTGATGTCTACAGCGATCTAACTGCAATAAATCACGAAATCGAATCGAAGTGAACGGATGCAATGTACTGTCGGCTTTAAACGAATGTTTTCGACGAAACGAATAAAAGATCCTGCATGTACGATCCTCGACAGAATATTCGAGCTCACCGATTAAGGTTACGTGATTTTTTTATTATTTAACCACACTCACGCGGACCAAGGTTATCAACGAAAGTGAAAAAGGGGTCGAGTAAGTGCTGCACTCACTTAATGGATATCGAATGTTTCCCCAAACTCGTTGAAAAATTATCACTGTCAACCGATCTTCTTACTTTTTATAAATCTCTGTCCGACGATGGTATCCACGGGTGAAGCTACAAGTAAAATTTAAATCAAGGATCTCTTTCTTCGACCCCTGCATCATTTCTCATCGGCACAACGTAATCCGAGGGACTGTCTCGGTGCATAAACGAAGCAAATGTTACGCTCGTCAAGTCCATTTCGTTATTAATGCCGGTTGTCATGAGTATCAGATAAATTATTGATGAAAAAGGATAAAAAAATGAGGGAGAATATAAAGAAGATATGTTGTGCCATATGAAAGGCGAAAAGTAAACGGGACGATGTCACAGATTTAAACATAATAGTATATATTATACATTTTATATTAAAATGCAATTCCATATTGCGTCGTATGTCGTGGGCATCACAATTTTAAAATCTTATCGACTCCGAAAATATCTTGAATGCATCTTTATTCACTCGCGTCATTAAGAACGCTTACGACAACTCTCGATTTAACGATTATGCAATTGTGCGCCTCCCTTTATTGGAAATTATATGCGATATCCTTTTTTCTTTACTTTTAAAAGTCATTTCATCTTTCACGTGCGCGTCTAGAATTATTAGTGGATTATCCTTACAAAACAAAAAGTCGCGCTAACGAGAAAGCATGAAGATCGAGTGAGATACCAGATAAGAACAAGATCAGGCTAATAAATATTAATTGAGGACCATGTTGATTTGTCGTGAAGGAAGGTTACGCGATATACCCACTCACCATAACGTGATCGCGCATTTCCTCGAATTTGCATAGCTAATGATCGGTTTCAATAAGCTTGGTTTGCTTATGGTTTAATGTATCGATGTTGCATCTCTTCAGTTTCAACTCCATATACCAAGAAAGTATTTAACAAGTCTTCTCCCGGAATTCTACAGCAACTACGTCTTTATGGTTTGATTGTATAACCGAATATTTGTAATAATAATAAATTAGTGATCAAAAATAAAAATTATTTCTTATTCTC